TTGGATTCAATGGATGATAGCTTTAAATTGTGTAATTGGAAACGAACACTCATCATTCTCCAAGGCTGGTCGTAGTCTTGTACATAAAGCAAAAGAATTATCCTGGTGCTTTTAACATAAAAATACTAGTTTTAGGTGAAACGAAAAGTTTGTAACGCTATTCCGTCTTTGCGTATTGCAGAGTTATCTGCTCTTGTGAGCAGGTATTGATTGTTTCGTCATTTGCTTGTGTGAGAAAATAACGTCATTTTCTTAAAAAATGTATGCCGCTACTCTCACAAACAAATGACGTAACAATCAATATCTGCTCACAAGAGCAGATAACTCTGCAATTCGAAAAGACGGAATAACGGGCTTTGCGGACAGTTTATCCTCTATGGTGTATTTCTACAGAAAGATAGTACAACATTACATATATACAGTATTTACACAACAATACCTAGACATACAGTATGATAGAATAACATTAAATATATACAGTATTTACAAAACAATACCATGACATAAAGTATGATAGTACAACATTACATATATACAGTATTTACAAAACAATACCTAGACATACAGTATGATAGTACAACATGACATACATACAGTATTTACAAAACAATACCATGACATACGGTAGGATAGTACAACATTAAATATATACAGTATTTACAAAACAATACCATGACATACAGTAAGATAGTACAACATTACATATATACAGTATTTATAAAACAATACCATGACATACAGTATGATAGTACAACATTACATATATACAGTATGTATAAAACAATACAATGACATACAGTATGATAGTACAACATTACATATATACAGTATTTATAAAACAATACCATGACATACAGTATGATAGTACAACATGACATACATACAGTATTTACAAAACAATACTATAACATACAGTAAGCTAGTACAACATTACATATATACAGTATTTACAAAACAATACCATGACATACAGTAAGATAGAACAACATGACACACATACAGTATTTACAAAACAATACTATGACATACAGTAAGATAGAACAACATGACACACATACAGTATTTACAAAACAATACTATGACATACAGTATGATAGTACAACATGACATAATTAGTAATATTGTTCTGATCAGGTTCATAAATCGGGGATAGACCTCACCTGGAGTCCATAATTGTATAGTCTTTACTTCACAAGGCCACTACGCTCTGCTAGACGACTATTTGTACTTATTCTGTACTGAGAAACACACACATTAAGTAATATTACTACCGACGCCACAGTGTGTATAAATTAATTTAAATATTGTCATGTGAAAATATTAAAACATTGCGTAGACTGGGTAATTATTTACGGTATGTTACTGCCAAAAGAAAAACCCTCGTGCAGTAATATTGCTGAAGTATGTATTAATTTTTGGGTGACAAATGTTAATATGGAATTGCCCTCCACCATCTTGAAAATTGACATATGTTTTGTGTACTATTCATACACTTAACGTATATGCTGTATTGCATTCGGAAATAAAAAAAAAAAAATGAAAATTTCAACTTGAACGAGTCACAAACGCTAGCGGTAGCCTTGCGGTCTGAATTTATTCAAAATAGCAGTTTAACAATTTGCTGTAGCCAAAGGTTGTGCGTGATCAAATGTGTATATGCACGTTTTACCTTAAACTAATTTATCAATTTTTCCTCAAAACGATTTAGATTTTCTTTCGTTTGGCCTTAAGTAACAATGATGAGGCTTGGATATTTTTCTGTTATACCCTTAAGGTAAGGGATGACTAATTTTCTCCCATCCTATTAGTTCAGTCACAACTTCGCCGACAGTAGTGTAGACAAAAACACATGTGGCGTATGAATATCGTCGTTCACGTTTGATGACGTCACACTTATCGGTGACACATTTTAATGGCGTAACAATTGAACACGTGCTAATCGGCACAAGATACAAGATACAAGAAATTTTATTTATAGTCGTATATATGAAAACAGAAACATTAGCAATGAAGAGCTATTATTACGACAAAACATAAGATAGTACAACATCAAATATATACAGTATTTACAAAACAATACCATGACATACAGTATGATAGTACAACATCAAATATATACAGTATTTACAAAACAATACCATGACATACAGTATAATAGTACAACATTACATATATACAGTATTTACAAAACAATACCATGACATAAAGTAGGATAGTAAAACATGACATATATCCAGTATTTACAAAACAATACCGTGACATGAAGTAGGATAGTAAAACATGACATATATACATNATGATAAAGGAATAGTAAAACTAATGTTAAGAGGAATAACTAAAACATCAGATGACAATAAGACAAGGTATTTCTAGTAATTATACAACAAGCAAGCACTACAAAACGAATTACATAACAACCACACTATATAACGAGTTAAGCACTACATGCAAATTATATAAACAAACAAAAACACTAGCAGCTTGCCATCACATTAACAAATAGCCCTACACACAAGTTATACATAACGACAGAGCACAGCAAGCAAAGCACATGTCTTCAAAGCATTACCAAGCAAACTACACAACAAGAAAAAAGGACTAAAAGGTATTATAATTGGCAAGTAATGCCAGCAAAGCATATGACATGCAAAGCACCTCAAGCACGCTTCACAACAAGCAAGCACCATAGCGAAATTATTAAACAGCATGAAGTATTGAAGTATGGGAAATACTCGAGGCTATTTCCCATAAGCTGATCTTTTCCGGCTTAAAAGGGAGACACCCCTGCTTTCCCGGCTGAAAAGGGAGACACCCCTGCTTTCCCGGCTGAAACGGGAGACACACCTGTAAAGGCCGGGATAATATATCATCACTACAAGCTGTACGAAGTTTTCTGCATATCGTAAAACAAAACTCTGTATGTAGTTATTTCATTCAATAAATTTTTTAATAAACCATGACCTTCTCGTTGATTTTGAAACAACTTATAAAAAAGTCTCGTTCATTCGGGGTAGGATTCGTTTCCAAACTCTCTACAACTTATGTCATTGAACCTAAATTCCTGGCAATTCATATCCACTGCAGGGGTCTAGCCTAGGTAAACATGTTGACAGCAGAAATCCGCGTGAGTCAAACAATATCTTTCTATACAGAACTGAAGGGGTGTATGCGATACGCTGTGTACACAATTCATTCCTTTATGCCCGATGGATGTGATAAGCTCGACAACTAATTTCTCCGGATTTTATATTTCTGTGTTACGTGACAGGAATATCTAACAGCACAATTTGAACGATTGAACTTCCTGGTTGTAGTACGATCGTATCAATTGTGTAATTTATTCTAACCCGGCTAGGCTGTAACGTGTGACGAAACAGGCGCGCTTTCTGTCTAAATAGTTAAAATCCTTCTGGTTTCTGTGTATTTTTTAAGAACTTGAGATGTTGTAATCCCCGGGATTGTTGTTAAGCTGTGCCCTACACGTAGACCGACATTGATCATACATGCTACCACTGGTATGATTTCTCAAAGCTTTATCAGCTTCACGGGGAAAAAAATACTCACTATTCATTAAAATACATTTTAAAATACTGATCGGGAAGTAATTATCTACGTGGGTATTTAAAGTTTCACTCTAAACGAATGCCGACAATAAATTCAAAATTTATGTGTAGAAATGTGTTTTTGACTTGCTCGTCATGCAATTACAAAAACGTTTGAAGGACATAGTGAGTTGTGTTATACCTCCCGTCAATCACCCAATAAGATTTTCTATGTGACGTTTCGATTACTAGTACGATATGTACACTGTCCCCTTCATCAGACAAATGACCAGTAATGCACACAAAGGTGTAAAATGTGTACGAGTTGTCCACAAAATCGATGTCGATTCGGCTACGCTGTAAGCGTATGTACAATAGTTGTTATATATGAACCGAAATGACTCGATTCAACTTGAGAGAGAGAGAGACAGACAGAGAGGTGGGGGAAGAGAGAGAGAGAGAGAGAGAGAGAGAGAGAAGAGAGAGAGAGAGAGAGAGACAGACAGACAGACAGAGAGGTGGGGGAAGAGAGAGAGAGACAGAGAGGTGGGGGAAGAGAGACAGACAGACAGAAAGACAGAGAGGTGGGGAAGAGAGAGAGAGAGAGACAGACAGAGAGGTGGAGGAAGACAGACAGACAGACAGACAGACAGAGAGGTGGGGGAAGAGAGAGAGAGACAGACAGAAAGACAGAGAGGTGGGGAAGAGAGAGAGAGACAGACATAAAGACAGAGAGGTAGGGGAAGAGAGAGAGAGAGACAGACAGACAGACAGAGAGGTGGGGGAAGAGAGACAGAAAGACAGAGAGGTGGGGAAGAGAGAGAGAGAGANGGGAGGGTATTCATTAGATAACAGTCTAGTCTGAAGTATGATAATATAACAACACTGACTTTCGTAATGTATTAGGTAATAAAACATCAGTGTATCTCGGACCATGTGATTTGTTCCTTCTCCATGCAAACGGAACTGATGATAGTCTATTCACTATTCTTAACTTTCTGCTATTCAAATGTTCATTACATTTATTTTGTGAAACGAAAACAAAACAATAGAGCGAAATAATGCTGCGAAAAAATAGCCCATATCATAATTTCTGTGTTGATTTTTATACAATACATATTCCAAATAATAAAATTCAGTGAAGAAACTATTTGTAAACCTTATTATGATTCTTAATTAAATGGGGAAAAAACATGTATATCGTATGAACTTATGGCCAGTTTTTAACTTTGTGCATATAACACGTGCCTTATCTATATAGATCGACATTATTTACATTATTTGATTGATGAAGTTCAGTTTTTGGAATATCTAAACGCATGTTGATGGTGATTCAGTCGACAATATAAAAACTCTTACTTCTCCAATAGGTTTTTTTACGAGTATGTGATAATTCTAATGTATTGCTAGTCGCTTAACTAATTACATAAGATGTTATATTGGTGCCGTTTCAGCTGGTAGCCTGAGCAAGGATGATTTCCTAGAAAAGTTCGACCTAACAGAACTCCTGGGCAGTGTAGCCATCATCCTCATCGTGTTTGGGGTGGCGCTGCTGTCGCTGGTCGTCATTGGTTACTGTGGAACCTGCTGTATGAGTCGATGTCTCCTGATCATAGTACGTATGCCCAGTTATCAAGCCAGCAGTTTTTGCCACTGTCATTGTCAGAGTGACGTATATATAATGCATTGTCCGTAACTTTAGTCAAACATAATTTAGTCAAGATCATAAGAAGTCCAGGGCACGTATTCATGGAACCTTTCTCAGGCTCAAGCAAGTGTTCAAGCCCAATTTCCTGTTCCGTTTATAAGATAATAATAAAATCTAATATTTGTCATTTATTTGCAAAAACATTTGAGGAACATGAAGCAAAATACTGTTTTCAATGTTTATATTTCATTATTTTGATCGTTTGACATGATTTAAGTGAGTTACACGAAAGTTGGTTTGAGCACCAAATCCATGCTTGTCGTTACATGTCTTTTGATCCCCTGTGACTGTAATCAGTCATACTGAAACTTTATTACACCACAACCCACACCACGGCCATGATACACCCAACACTTTAAATCCAACTGTGAACAGAAATATCTCCATAGCTTTATATATTGTTGTGCCCATATTTCTTGTTGTCGATGTATCGTGTAAATTAACAAATCGACAAAAAGTGATAGTATAATGAAGGTACAATCAAACTCGTTTAGTTGTAGTGCGACAGCGTGGTTCTACATTTACCATTGAACATGTAGTGATATAAAACAGACTTGTGATATATATATATCATTGTTAAGTTTAGAACAGGTCCGCGTGACAGTTACCGCCAGTGAGGTGGGCTGTAATATAAACTATTTTTGTTACAGTACAGTAGTCAGTACATGACACTGAGTTACAGCCAGTGAGGTGGGCCGTTATATAGACTATTTTTGTTACAGTACAGTAGTCAATACAGGACACTGAGTTACCGCCAGTGAGGTGGGCCGTTATATAAACTATTTTTGTTACAGTACATTAGTCAATACAGGGCACTGAGTTACCGCCAGTGAGGTGGGCTGTTATATAAACTATTTTTGTTACAGTACAGTAGTCAATACAGGGCACTGAGTTAC